TTACCTTTTTTAGTAATCTCCCCACCCCAAAGTCAAAAAACTTGTGAAACTCCACAGCCAAATACAAATTCACCTGCAATGGAAATAGAGTCAGGTTTACTAACCCTCTGGCAGGGAGCATGCTGTCTGCACAATTACCTCAATCTCTTAAGTATCTTCCTGTTCATATTACTCTATATTACATATTGGTTAACTTGATAAAGCAACCAGCTACATCTTATATCTTAATAAATATGTCCTTTAGTCCTTTCATTTTTGCATTGCACATGCTGTGTAACTGCATGGGTACAAATGACTTATCAACGGCTAAATACGTATCTACAGTTTGAGAGCTGCACAGATGCATAAGATCACAACAGCAGCATCATGCTTATCAGAAGCATCTCCTAGAACAATGCTAGGCTTCAAAACCCTGCACAAGCAATCAGACCTGAGTGCTACAGTAAGCCTATAGTAATCCTGCTTTGCTTCCTGAGCAAACACGAACTTAGCAACTATGTTTGTGCTTTATACTTCCATCAAGCCCAGGTATGCTGCATAATAGGGTCCTTTGCTGCACAAAGTTTGCTTTGAGTGGGGTGTCTGAGGAAACCTAACAATGGTAAGATTTTTCAAATAGCAATACTAAAAGAAAAAACACTTCTTGGTATGAAGCCAAGTTTAACAACTTCAAAAACAAGAGTTAAGGGTTTTAACATCACCTGAATCAGTTAAGAACTGTGAAGTAAAAAAATTCCAGCCCCATATTTGTAAGAAACTTGCTAATAGTTTGAAGCAAAGCAGACACTACTTTCAACAACTCCAGTTCAGTAAAGCACTTGAGTATTGACACATCCCATCTGACTTCAATTCATCAACGTTTGGGTGCTTTCCTGACTTTGAATCAGTGTCATTGCAAAGGCAGTATTTAAACAACTGTTTAATAAAAATAAACAAACAAGAACTTGGAAAACAGTTCTCCTGTACTGCAAAGGCACTTGCAAAGTAATAATTATTTTCACACTTCCATTGGCATGGGTTGGAAGAGAGAGTTTATCTTGTTGATAACTTAAGCACAACCTAGAAACAGTTTTGTGTTAAAACTTTTCAACTTGTCCTCTGTTCTTCAAATATTTTGGATTGCACAACAAATACACATCATGGTTCTGCTTTCATTCAAATGGAAAAATTAGTTTAAAGGACAAATAGTTTAGGATTAGAGTCTAAATTTGCAGCTCTTAAATTCAAGCCTAGTCAAACTTTGCATGCAGGTGAACTTTAGCTAACAGAAAACACATGAATAAATACCCAACAACCAATGTATCAATAAATATCCAACTAAGTACTCATAAAACAGCAATATTCTCCCTAGAGAGCTAAGGCAATGATGTCAGGGAAATCAAGGGTTACATTTCCTGGGGTTTTAAGCGAGAGCTTTAAAATCAATGCCACTTTAATTAAGCCTCAGTAACTGTATGACCATAGTTTAGTAGCTGATGTATCACAGAACTGAAACTTTTATTCCATATTAAACAAAAACCACAACTCGTATCCCCCAAAGAAACAAAGCGTTTATTACAATGTCTTAAGACTACTAACAATTAGTAACAGATTGTGTTACTGCCATATTCTTTATTGGTATCACTGGATGCCTTACTAGCATTGTTAAACCTTTCAGTTTCTCACAATCAACTAAATTCTCAATTTCAGTATAAAGAATTGCATTCCAGCTTACAGTATCAGAACATATTGAGAAATCAAGCACTTTTGATGGAAATGCACTCACATAATAAATTCAGGGTGCAAAGACTATTCTGAAACAGAATGGCACCATTGAGAATCAAATTGAAGATACTCCATTAGAGTTTTCTCCATTATTTCCTTCCGATTGTTGAAAAGCCCTAGAATTCTCTTGGGTCTAAATCAGAGGAGGGTGTGCCAGCATGATACCACAAAGCTCATTTGCAACAGCTTTCTTGAGGGCTGAATCATCTACCTTCTTTCCAAGGTATTACACCACTAGAAAGTATAGATTTAAACTTACTGATACAAACAGTCAAACAGTTGGGGAAACTATTCATAAGCATTATGAAACTTCTGTTCAATATTAAATTATAGTTTGATTTCAACCAGCTAGAAATTTAATTCAGAACTAGTTCATAGCACACTACAAGTCTTGGGGAAAAGAGTGACCAAAGCCAAGCATAACTACAATAAACTGAAGCCCACTTACTAAGTCTGGCAAAACTCCAATTTGAACGTATACACAAGGTACTGCATCCAAATAAGAAATTTAGTTATTAACAAATTAAGACCACATGACTCATAACCACCTTTCTGCATTAATGAGTATGACTGCCCACATGGCAGTGATAGGGTTAATAAAACACAGGCCGCAGACTCTCAGCTACAATTACCAGCTATCACTAAGCACAGTTACAAGTCTGTGATGTGTCCTGCTGAACTCAATCCATACAGGATACAAACATGTATCAGACAAGTCATACCATAGCTTGTCACCAGATAAGAATAAAAGCATGTTGTTTATTAATTATCAGCAAATTAATAATAGCTATATGTTGCGAAACCAATGTATATACCAGTTAAACATCAAAATGACAGCATATTTAAGTATTAGAATATTAATTCCACTTTACATTTCTCACCCTTCTACATGGCTACCCATGGTATATGAACCAACTATCTTCATAACCACAGAACAGACTTCTAACTTATCTTTAAAAAGAGTGAGTGCAAGATCAGCTGGCATAATAGTACTATTTGTGAATAGCTGTTATGAGGATGCCTACAGGAAAGATAAACAGAGCCCACAGGTTAGTGTACAGAATACAGACAGCAATGTGAAACATTTAGATAGGCAACAGAAAGATCAGTGTAAACCACACATTATCCCCTTAGTCACATGAAATAACCATTTCTAATCCTGGCTGAGCAAAGCTTGGTGGCTTTAGCAGTAGGTTATGGTAAACTGAAGTAAACTACTAGGGCCATGGTCTCTTTTGCAACCTGTAGCACATCAGCAGAGCAGGCACAGTAGCAGCTAAAGCAAACCAAGATTTCCTCCTTCACCCCCCTCTAAAAATCCATTATAAAAATACTGTTTTGCCAATGACATACTGCTCTACCAAGTTCATTTTACAATGCTGAAATACTGAGGGACCAACAATGATAGCATTGTTGATCCGTCTCTAAGACTTACTTAACATGCTTCCATCAACTTCAAAGAGCAGCTGTACTGGTAAGGAAAAAAAAAAACAGCAATTTTCTTTTTCTCCCCATAAGAATCCTATTTTCTTGAAAAAGGAAAAAAAATAAGAGTGAGACCAGCAACACTCTTCTCCCAAGAGTGCAAGGAACAAGCACGTTAATACTTCATATGAATGCTACTAAAGTTGAAGCTTGGTTACTTTACACTAATATAAAATTCAGTAGAATGTAAATATATGCTAATGTAAACTCTGATCAACATTCTGTTATCTAGCTACACAGAATGCTTTAAACACTAGGGAAAGCCCTTAAGAAAGCTTGCTCCCTATCCCAATTCTTGGTTCTCTACTACAGTAATTCTCCTTTCTGCTCCATTTCACATCCCTTGCCCTGCCCAGCAGCACAGATACTGAAGAAAAACACTGCCCAGGTAAGTTTTCTATTCCCTACACAGCCAGCTGAGCTACACAGAGTGAGGAAAACACAGGAAATATACTTAAACAACACAAATTCTATGACTGATATACTTTGAGATTTCAATACTTGAGCTATGTAGGCTTTTTCCCTTCCCTCCTCTTGAGGGTTTAAGAGCTCCCACAAGATAGATCAGTAAGCCGTGATTGTTGCCTTCTCTGCTAGGAAAGTACATGAAAAAGAACTCTGAGACACAAGGAAATAATTGGTGCCTTACCTTATCACTTCAGCAAACAGACAAGGAAAGCTGGGTGTCAGCAGGACATGTCAAATACTTGAAAATGCAAGTGACCACATAGCTCCTAACTTAATCAAGCACTACCTCAAAGGTATTGTTTTAAGTGACCACACTAGGTGCCAATTCAAACACTTTACCTGATCAGGACAATGAATGACAATCCACATATAAAATTAAGCTTTAGGGAAGTCCACTTTAATCAATCCTACAGAACCAGTCAATCACAGTATTCACCACAGACAGATTCTTAATTGATGCCAGGAAATAGCCTCAATCTCACCACAGAATAGACCAGCACACAGTAAGCCTTACCTCACTGAAACAACTCAGCTAGGATACAAGTAAAAGCCACCATGCAAGAAACCCCTTGCTGCAAAATCAGTCTCGCTGGGGAAGAGAAGTGCATTGACAAGAGAGAGGAAAGAAGGACAAAGAAGAGAATGCTTCTTACTTGACACACAGTCCGGCCAGGCCTCAGCACTGAGGTTAAGTCTTTCTTTCCCTTTCAAAGAAGTTGGGACTTGGCAGCCACCTGCCCTTTGCTCGAGGGCAGATACCGCTGCCACACCGGGGGTCAAGGGTGGCAGCTGCCGCCCGGCCGCTCCGAGCGCGATGAAGAAGGAGGAAGCCCCAGGCGACCTGTAGCGCCCCGGGTCACTTGAGGACACGTGTAGATGTCGGTTACGCAAATCAGAGAACGGTTTTTTGCAGAGCCCCACCCGCGCGGGAGCGGAGCGGGGCGGCCGCCAGGCCCCGGGGCAGGCACAGGCTCGCTCCGGCGCCCCGCGGGGAGGCGGGCAGGTGAGCGGCCCCGCTGCGGGGCGCCGCCGAGTGAAGGGGCGGCCGCCGCGCAGGCTCGCCGGGCAGGGCGGGCGGACAGCGCCGGGCTCCTCGCAGGCCGGCACCCCCCTTCCTCCCTTCCCTCCCGCAGGCGGAGGGAGCACCCCAGCCCCTTACCGAGGCAGGAAAACCGGTGGACGGTCTCTCGGCGGCAGTGAGGGCCAACCGCGCTCTGCCCTCAGGAGAGCCCTGCTCCCGCCGGGGAGCGGGCACCTGTCCGCAGCGGCCGACCCTGGCTTACCTGGCCGCGCGGCTTGCCCGCCCTCCCGCCCAGCGCGGTGCGGTCACCAGCCCACTAGCTTGCTCGCTCCGTCCGCGAGGGAGCCGGCAGCGCGGCGAGAGGTACCGGCTCCAACCGGCACTTCTCGGGTCCCGCCCCGACGCCGCCGTCACGTTACCGGCCGCGCCAGCCAATGGGCCGCTGCCGGCGAAACCACTGACAGGCCGCGGGGCGGGCGCTGCGGCGGACAACAGGGGCCCGCCCGGCACCTCTGCTGTGCCCCTGGTCAGACTGACAGCCCCCCGGTGAGGGTACCGGCACCTAACCAAACGTGAGCCGCTCGGAAGCGGGAGGAGGTGGAAGGCGTGAGAAAGCCGCTACCGCCGGCGGTTACAAAGTACACATGAGGAAGGCGCAGCTGGCAGCGAGGCTATTGAACCGCGAGGGGGACGCGCGGCTGCCTGCGCACCGGAGGCCTCGGCTAGGTGCGGACAGCGGGAGGGGAGGGGAAGCAGGCGGGGATGCTGATGTCCGGCCTGGATGCTAGGGATGCCACCGCGGTGTTACCTGACGAATTAGCCGGCGCCCCTGCCGCGTCCCTGCATCTCTCCTGCAGCAATGCCCAGGAACATCCAACGTCCACGCCGCTGTCTGACAGGGGCAGACACGAGTCCGTGTTCTGCACGGCAGGACCCTTCTACGGCTCTTCAGTTCCAGGGGAAATCTGATAATAAAATAATAATAATTTTAAAAGTTCACAAATATACACGACTTAAAACCCCCAGTCATAGACCCATTTGACTTTCCTATTTCACTGCCTTTCTCCGCGGAGAGTGAAGTTCCCTCCTCCCGGTGCCCGAAGGGCTCTGCTGGATAAACGCATGAAAGCTCGAAGGGAAGTTGTGATCCCTACCTAGATTCCTGCTATTAACGGGGACAAATGGGCTGCGTCTGCCTTCTCTTACTCGTACGAACAGCTCAATCTACTCCAGGAATGTTCCTGCCATATTTTCATTATTAGCAACTCCATTGCAAGAATCTATTAAAAATCCTATTTATAATATAATTATACTTCTTACACTCACTCTGCTGTAGTGTTTGTTGTCTGTCTAGTCATCAGTTTAGCAAGTAAAAGAGCCTGTTCGAACTACTGCTTTTCCTCCATAAAACACCAAAATCTTTTCCTTCACAGCTATAGAAAACCCCTTTCACTTAAAGAGCACAGATTCTGCAAAACCAATGAACTGTATGCCGTACACTGAATAAAGTACAACTTAAAAAAGCCATTACAATATAATTCTGCACAACACAGAGGTGTGTGCTTGTTTTGAAACACAGGCATTACAGTGGAGCCGAAAGTGAAACCGATTACAAATGAAAGTGAAGCTGGCTTTTTAATCCAAACACATAGAAACACTAATGCCAACATGTATGTTTGCAGCCATAGTGGTAGCCTAGCAGAGAATTTGTTTTGTATTTGTTTTAAGCAGATAGTTTCTACCTGTGTGCACTTTGTTATGATCTACTCCATGATGTCCTTTGATAGCAATCTAATCTCTGAGAAGCTGCTACTGCCATCACAGATGTGACAATGGCATGGCCCTGTCTGCAGCTACTGCTCCCGAAGTCCTTGACAGAGTTTGGCCAAAAGCGGACAGCCAGCCAGCAATCTTCCCAGGAGACCAGTTCCCTTCTGTCCCATGACCTACCACCTCCTCAGCTGACTGGGTCTTGATTTCCACCATCGAGACAAATCTTCTGCTTTATTAGGGCTTACCTGAGGAATGAATTAATGGATTCTACCTTACTGGAACTATTTCCCCTTTCTGTGAGCAAGATAAAAGTACGTCTTACTCTATAATCTTTCTTTCTACTAACTCAAAAATGAGAAGTCTGTATACAGGATCTGCCCCATTTTCTGTCAGCAACAGGCTAGGAAGATACGTTGTAAAACCAAGAAATATTGGTACTGAAGTTTGGCATTAAGTCAGAACACTAAAGTTAATGATCATAAGGTTCATAATTGCTTGAGCAAAAGATTGCAACCCACCCTTCTAGGTTTGGTTCTTACTTTGCTACTGAGTAGCTCCTGGGGAAGCACAAGGGGAGCACTCAACTCATCAATCACACCCCACAAATCCCCAAGGAATGAGATCGGAGCAAACAGAGTATTTTGTTAACTGCCTACTCAGAAACAACACCGTTTTTAGCTGTGCAGCTAAACTTTGTACCCCACAGATCAAATTCTTCTTTAGGGTTATTTTAGTGCAATTATTTTAGGATTCATTTCTTCCAGCCTTTTTCAAGCACCATTATCCATAAAATGTTCTTCAAGCTTTAACACCCTTTCTAACTGTTTGTCACAGCCATCTATGAGAAACTGAAAAACCACATCTCGACAACTCAGGGAAGGTCGAGTTTCATTTCACACAACATTCCATTCCCTGATCTTTTTTAACTTGATACTTAGAGGTTACATAACCAGCTTTGAACCTTAAAAGAAGTAACAGTTTCCAATGTCACGCTCAGTGTAACTAATGGGTGTCCTGAGCATTTTGGCTTCCATGATTTTGGGACATCTCATGAATCCTGTAGATTTAAGAGGGTAATATTTACAGTCAGAATTTGACTTTATTATTCCACTCTTTTTAATATCAGAGAGATTATTATACTTGACTTTTAACCCTCTAGTAGTGCTTGAAGTTGCAGTAGCAACAGTATCTTGATCACAATTGCGCTGGTAGCAGTTAACCTGAAGCTGAGCCAGTTCTTTGAGTGAAGCACCCTATGACAACTACCATGTGATCTCCAAGTACATCTCTGACTGTCTGTTTCTCAAGATCCCATCTTTTGATATGAAAGGCTACAGCTTTATTGTTAACTGAAGCATGAACCACAACCCTTTAACTTCTAAAATGCCATTTATTCTCCTAAAGAAAATAAAAATTATGTAAGTTTCATAGTTCTCTATAGAATTGTAATTTCAGCCCCTGCCACATCCTGATTATTAACACACTTGCTCTTTCTGGCATTTTATAAAGCTTCTTTGTCTCCTTCTGGGACTTTATAAATCACATGTTACATACGCTCCAGATCATTGATTTCTTGGTGCAATAACGTGGCTCTTGCAGTTCATCACACAAAAGGCTCTCAATGGGTATTTTAGGACAACACTTCCCTCTGCTGGATCTGTGGGCAGTCACAGCTCTGCCTGCACTGGAGGGACCTGCCCAAATTCTCTGCCTCTAGCTCAGGCAAGACCCCTGCTCCTTCCAGACAGCTTTGGACAATAAGAAGCTAGCAAAGAACTTCTTAATTTATCAGATGGCTATGATAATCATAAGAGTTTAATCCAGCTTCAAGTGGACGGGACTATCAATTTATTTTGTGCTCAAGACAGGAGTATCTCAAAGCTGTAGATAATGATAAAATTGGGAGTCTTAGGGTCTCCCATTTCATATCCTCTCCAAAACCCTGACAAGCTGGCTCTTGAGCTGCACTATAGGAGCTCAGACAAGGCAACAGATCCTTGGCTGTATGTACTTCAGCAAAAAAGCATCAGGATCATAGGGTATTCCAAGAACACCACTGTAAATCATCCATCCTGCAGAACACAGGACATTTGAGACGAGAGCACATTCTTTCCCTTTCTCTGTAATGTGCTAATACATATTTTCTGCGTCTACCTTGAAGGGACTGAGTGCAAAGTGACAGCAGCATATTAATACAGATATATTCTTGCTCATTAATGTGAAGGCAGCCTTAAAATCCCCCCAGAAATGTACAGTATGTAGGGCTGCAAGCATGAACTCACTTTGCAGCAATGGATATATATACATAGATCTATTGTCTGCAAAGACCTTCTCTACATAGCCTCTGCTGATTTTAATTGACAGCACTTAAATGTCAGCTGGATCCTCATGCCAGATCAACAGGCATTTCTTTGTACAGCATGTATATAGGGCATCACAGAAAAAAAAAAGATTAATATTTTTGAGAGAGAAATATTGGCTGCACTTTTTGTGATTCTAATGGTAACCAAGAATAGTGCTACAGTGAATTTTAATTGACTGCTCCATTTCCCCTCTGGCCATCTGTTCCAAACTACTAGCAACAACCAGAGTACAACATTTTACAAGGGGAGGCTTGATGGAAACTACCATATTCAGATAGCTGTCTTGTGTTCAAGCCATAGAGTTGTTGAAATACTGTCCACAACTGAGGGAGGGGGAGTGTTAAGAGGAAGGGGAGAGAGAATTGCAGAGATAAATTAGTAAAGTTGTGCTTAGTTCTTGCTCTTCACAAGGACAGGAACTGCACCAGGTGATGACATGTGCTCCTCACTGACTTGTACAAACACGATTGAAAAACATAATTGTTTTGCTGAATAAAGATTCTGTTCACATGCTCTGCTGAATGAAGGCTGTCAGTGGATTTCAAAACACAGCAAGATGATGAGTAAGCTACACATGGGTGGAGTAGAAAATATAGATATAATTCTAAAACAATATTCCCAGTCAGAAAAATTCACTTTGAAAAGGGAGACAGAGATGTTCCACAGAAAACCTGTCAGAAGACTGGGTCAAAGTGGTACTCAGTGTTAAAACCTAGAACAGGTATCAGTGCTTAAAGCCATGCTGAGGTTAACTGGAATAAGCCTTCATTAGAAGATGGGAAACAGGTGATTACACAGAAGGTGGTTCCCAATTTGCATTCAGAACAAAGCCTGTGCTAAACACGCTGAAGGCCTGGTTAGAAAAGATCATATATCTCTTGGGGGAAATAAAAAAGGTTTCTAAGTGTTTGGAGAGAAAATACAAGGCTTGAATAAAGAAACCAGAATGTTACGATCAAGGAGATCCTGAGTAACAGCAATAGGGAAAGGAAATACCCCCCACCCCAACATAAAGTGGCACAAGCAATGCTTTTCCAAGCAGGATATTTTCCAGTTGTCACCTGGTTTTTCAATGCTGAAGAATAAGGATTACTCTGTGCTTCATTTAAGTGGGACTACATTCATGACTCCTGGTGATCCTTGCATCTTACTCTTACTAATTGTAAAGTCTTTGTTTGAGACTTTCCAAGAAAACTTGTACATGGACTCCAAATAGAGCAACTAAAGAGGAGTATTTGTCTCTCAAGAGCTTTCACCACAAAATAAGTATTTGTTGGCTCTAGCAGCCCCACAGGCATTAATAGCTGGCACATGACACTTAATGATGCATTACTAATAATTGATGTGTGGCTGCCAGAATGCTACTTACAACAACAACAACAAATCAGTGCTTTGGGATTCAAATATCATTCACTCCTGCTATTTCCAAATGCTTTGACTCCACGGTACAGTTCTAGTA